TGGACTTTGTGTTTTACTGACCGACCTCTTCCTTCTGCCTTTGCAGCTCTCCTCGAGCTGCCCGAGTCACTGGCCATCACCGATGGCTATGCCCAGCAGTACCGTGCCGTGCAGCTGCACCTGCACTGGGGCTCTCCGTCAGGACCCGGCTCGGAGCACACCATCGACGGCCGACGCTTTGCTGCGGAGGTAACGAGCCCTCGTGGCGACAAACGCAACCTTTCCTCTCCCGGCGCCGGGCATGGAAGGTGCTGGAGTGCTGTCTCGCTCCTAGCCGGTGGCCCTGGTTGTCACTGGGTGAACGCAGCTGCAGAGTTCAGCATAGCAGACCATGCTTTGGTGCTGAGCCAGACTCGCGCTGCAGCCTGCGGTGCAGAGGCGAGGAGGAGACCACCCTCCGGGATGCTCTGCCCGAGGTGGGCTGGGGCTGGCCGCGTGTGAGCGGTGCAGCCTGTCCCCGCGCTGCAGCCTGGTCCTGGGCTGATGGAGCAGGAGCCGCGGCCGTCCCCGGGCTGGGGGGGCCAGCTTCCCCGGGCGGCTGTGAGCAGCCTGCTTTGGGAGCTGCAGGGACTGTTTACTCTGTACACACTGTCCTCCTGCTCTGCCAGCTCCCATCTGGTATTATCCCTCCTTCTCTAGCTGCTGTCCTCAAACCGAGACCGGCTGCAGTAGGACCCCTAGTATCTAGGGCAGAGTGCCAGTTTGCTGTCCCTGACTGGGGAAGCTCCTGCGGGCAGACCTTCACGCTTGCTGCTTTGCAGCAGCACACTCTCTCAGTCCTGCCAGAATATTCCCCTCCTAGGACGCGTGCTCATCACAAATGTGTGTCTCTGCCGGCCCTTGCTCCGGCAGGCTGTAGCCCTGTGAGGGTGAGCACCTCCCGGAGGTGCCCGTCCTGCATGGGGATTGTGTGTTTCCCTTCCAGATCCACGTGGTCCACTACAACACCAAGTATTACAACTTTCAGGAGGCAATGGTCTACCCAGATGGCCTGGTTGTACTGGGAGCCTTCCTGGAGGTGAGTCCCATAGATGAGCCCTGAGCGAGAAGGGGTAGGAGCACGGGGAGGGTGGGACTGGGCAAGCAGAGTCAGGCACAGTTTTGAGGACTGTCCAAGGTGCAAATGCTCCTGGGGAGAAGGGGAGAGAGAAGGCAGTCCAGAAGGCAGAGCAGCCCCAAAAGGAGGAAGGGGTCACTGGGACAGGGTGCTTCTCACAGGGAGCGATACCTCCCTGTTGGCACTGCCATCGCCGGCCGGTCTCCATTCGGCCCCTGTCCTTGTCGTTATGGTGGGGTCTCTGTGTTGCAGGTTGGGCCGAGGGAGAACCCATACTATCAGGAAATACTTGAGCATCTGTACGATATCCAAAGAAAAGGTAAGGCCCTGTCCCACCTGGCGTTTGTCTCGGGGGCTGCAGCCCAGCAGAGAAACCTGCTGCACGGCAGAGAGACGCTGCAGCAGCCGTTTGCCGTATGCATGTGAGAAGGGGAGCGTGGCACAGCTTGTACAGAAACAGCTCTCCAAGGTGCCCTCTGCTTCCACGTGCTGTCCGCTGCCTCCGGGGCAAACCCAGTGCTCTTGCCTCAGTGCACCAGTGTAGACCCTAGCACCTGCGGTGCCAGGCTGCCCATGATCTCCATGCTGGTCCTGCCTGTTGTCCTCTAAGGGGTTGCCCCAGTCTCCCATGCTGTTTCTTCTCCTAGGTCAGCAAGTCTTGGTGCCTGGATTCAACATTGCCGGTCTGCTGCCTGCCAACCTGAAACACTACTTCCACTACAATGGCTCTCTGACCACCCCAGCCTGCTACCAGACGGTGAAGTGGACAGTCTTCAACCAGACCATGCTGCTTTCTCGTGGCCAGGTCCGTCAGGGTGATGATCTCCATGCTGGGTCTTGCCCAGGCTCTCCCTGCAAGCACACACCATGTGTGCTGGTCCCCTGGGGCTCACCTGGCTCCCAAAGGTGGGATGGGATGCACCCCGCACTGCTCATGCCGTTCTCCTTCCAGATGTCAAGGCTGCTGATGAGCCTGAGAAACGACGACAGCAAAGCTCTGCAGAATAATTACCGGCTGGCACAGGACCTGCACGGGCGACGGGTGCTGGCGAGTTTCCAGACCACCCTCTCCTCGGGAGATGACACGCGTGCTGGTAAGGAGCGCGTGAGCATGCTCAGGCTGCACCCAGCTGCAGGGGTGCAGAGACGGAGTGAGGAGCAGGAGTCAAGGCTTCGCGTCTCTTACAGAAATGCAGCATTTTCATGGGTTAGACCTGCCCGACAGGTGACTTACGGCAGCACTGGTCTTGGGGTCCTGCTCTCCTCCATTTCTGCGCTTCTGTCACCCTGCCTGGGGAAGATGGGTTTCTAGGACCTGTATTATCCTTGCCGTTGCAGAAATAAGTTGCAGGACTAATGCATACGTATGGTCAAGGGCAAACAGCTAGGTCCTAGCAACCCAGCTGTCTTCTTCATCCCCAAAAGCAATAGCTAAATTCAGTAGGACTGCAGAGGTACAGGCTTGCAGTAAGCCCCCCACCGCCAAACTTTGCAAGAAGGGCAGTGGAGGGGACCCATCCCCCTCCGACGGCTGTGCTCTGCCAGTGGGGCCACACAGCCATCCTGGCAGGGCACACAGTCCCCTGCCTGCAGCATCCCTGTCTGCCCGTCCTCAAAGGTTTCTTTTGCTCTGGTGGCTTCCAGCGACGAGTAGAAATTCCTCTGAATCCTCCGGTGTGACTATCGCTCTGCATCGCTGAATTCTTGCCTGTTGCTGCTCTCCGAGGTCACTGGGGTTTTTCTGTCTAGCATCCTGTTCCTTTTCTGTTTTGATGGCACTTCCTACACCTTGTGTCAAGGTGACTAATAGAAACAGTACACAAGCTCGGTCCCAGGCCCTTGGGCATGCCTGGGTAATCACACACCGTGCTGCAAGGCACTTCCCTTCACCGTCCCACCTGCAGCCAGATCGCTAATGGCTGCAGGCTTTTAATCACCATGGTCTTCAGCCTGGCTCACAGTTTCCCATGTGGCACTACATCAAATGCTTCAATGAAGTCGGCAGAGATAAAATCTACTGCATTTTCTTTGTCTAGAATATCACTTATCAAAGAAGGGTATCGGGTTAGGCTGGCATGCTCTATCTTTGGTAAACCTGTTAGATACTTTATCATATTTTCCATTTACCTCCAAGCCTTTCTTTTACCAGTGTCTTGCAGAAGCTGTTCCAAAGCCTCCAGCCGCTGAGGCTGGGGCAAGGGGGGGGGAGTTGCCCAGCTCACATGCCTTTTTTTTTTCTTTCCTTGCTATTTCTATTCAACAAACTCCACTTTAAGAAAGCCACGAAGCCCTTGTTCCTGGAGTGCAAGGACACTGTCCCAGTACTCCCAGATGAGGTTACTGGTTCTCTGCCTTGCATGCGTGGGGCTGTTGGGGTTTTCTCCCCACCTCGGTGCTGATAACTATCTGTTTTAGCCCCTGGGCTGCTGAGCACTGAGATGCAGTGCTGTGGGGTCACATCTTGCTTCGCTTGCAGCTGCACCTCCTGCGCCCACGCCTGTTGATCGTTCCCCAGTCACCCCCATTTCAGGAGAGCTGCTCCTGCCCCTGGCTGCTGGGCGAAGGCGGTGGCTTCCCCGCTGCAGCCGTGCAGCTGGATACGGCCCGCAGATAGTGCCACTCTGCGAGCGGTGCCGGAGCCGTGTACAGACGATAATGCAGCTGTGTAAAAGCCACGCTGTCACGTTGGGTAAATGTTTGTGTGGCACAGCTCCTGCCCCAGTATGTAGGGCCACCAAGCCACCCCCATGCAGGGTACCCTGCTGTCGTCAGCCACCGTCTCCCTGCAGGCAATTGTCCCCACCGTTGTTGCCTGCTGGGCTCACCCCCTGCCCCTCTCTGGGGTCTGCTGCGGGGTTTGGAGCAGTCATGGGGTGCTGCAGTGCCCAGCACCCTGCCTGTCTGCTTCCCAGGCAGTGGCAGCAGCACTGGAGGAGTTTCTGCTTGGGTTCAGTGAGGGTTTTGTGTGGGCTTGGTGCAGGGATCCATTTTTTTTTTTTTTTTTTTTTTTTTTTTTTTTTTTTTTTTTTTTTTTTTTTTTTTTTTTTTTTTTTTTTTTTTTTTTTTTTTTTTTTTTTTTTTTTTTTTTCAGGCAGGTCGCCCCCCCTGCTCATGGGAGACGGGGAGCCTTGCAGGCTTGACACTTCCCAAGCACCTCGGGCAACCTCTTGACTGCGCTGTCTCTCTTGCAGGTGATGACGACTCACGAACAGGAGGTAGGTGAGGGGCTGGCCCGAAGGAAGGCGACTGGGGGGTGTACGTGCCTGGGAAGAGGGCTCCTGCCAGCCACGTGCTGAGCTGGGGGGGCAGGCAGCCATGGTGGGACTGCAAGGCTGCCCAAGCATCTGTCTCATCCTCTCGTCTTTGTCTCCTTTGCAGGACACCCCGGCTCTTCGTTTCACGCAGGTAAGCGTGCTCAGCCCGGGCTGCTGCCTTTGTGTCCGGGCTGCTTCAGCCTTGCCCCATCTCCCTCGGCCAGGAGCTGCAGGGGACCCTCCCCACTCTAACGTGCCTGTGCTTGGCTTACAGGGGACGTGCTGGCCGTGCTTTTCGGGGTGCTCTTTGCCATCACGGCGCTGGCCTTCCTGCTGTACCTCTACAAGCACCGCAGCCAGAACGCACGGTGAGTGATGGGGAGCTGCAGGAGGAGGGGGGCCCAGCACAAGTCTAAGACATGAGAATGGGGGGTTAAGGGTGGTCTCTCGGGCAGCAAGATGGGTTAGCAGCACCCTCCTGTGTGCTCTAACACTCCCTCTTTTCCATCCCCATCAGGCTGGACTCGCAGACCAAGTCCAAGGTCATCTACACAGCAGCCACCACCGACAACACCGCATGAGCCCCGCACCTCTGCGGCAGTCCCATTTTTTTTAATAACAAAAGGTAAAAACATTAAAAAAAATAAAAAAAAAAAACCCTCCTATGGTGCCAGCCCTCTCTGTCCTTGTGTGAAGCTGTGGGGCAGGAAAAGGCACTGGTGGAGCTGGACTTACAGCAGAGAGGGGCAGGCAGGGACCCCTTCCCTGCCGGTAGAAACATCATTGGTCTCCATACCCCGGGCAGAGCTCCAGAGCAAGCAGTGCAGGGCTCCTCGCACAGCCCAGCCCTGCCCTTCATCACTCTGGGACTTCTTCCTCCTCCTGTTTGTGCAAAGCTCTGGAAAAACATAGCTGCAGCTTGGTACGGCTGGGGAAAGGCAGAGCTGAAGGTGGCAGAGCCACCGCTTCCTCTGGCTCTACTGTAGCTGGAGAGATCCCAGATCCACGGCTGCCTCCCACCTCTCCTGGTGGCTCCAGTGCAGCTGGACCCCAGGGCCCTCCCCAGCCACACCAAAACCAAGAGAAAGAGGCCAGGTCCAGGAGAGGGTAGGAACCTGCAGGTCTCCATCTCTCAGCCACCTCCACCCCAAAGCAGTAAAACTAGAGGATGGATAGAGCAGGAGCAAGACCTCCAGGCAACTGGGGTCTGCAACTGCCAGACCCTGTCCTGGTCACACCAGCACAAGCCACTGCCACCCTCCCCCCAAGGGCAGCACCGCCGGCCGCACGCAGCCCCACTTGTCTGTGGTACTTCTTTTTATTGGTATAAAAGCCCACTGTGGATAAAACTGCATTCTCAGCCCTGAGCCTGAATGGCAGTTCCTCCCTCCCAGCCTTGTGGCGCAGCACCAGGGCTGGTGCCCGCCTGAAAATCCCCTTTCAAGTGCAGGAGAGGGCAATGATCCACTAGCATGGCCCCTTGAACCCCCTCCCCAAGCTGTGCCGGCACCAGCTGCAGGGCTGCATCTCTTCCTGAGCTCTCCACCATGCTCCATGTCTGCTGGGTGCTTTGGGTACCATCTTTTCCCCGTTCTCCTCCTGTCGTGGGTGCTGTCAGTCCCCTCGGATCCCCGGCACCATCCTCCCTGCACCAGGATGCCAGCTCACTGCAGCTACTGCAGTCCAGGGCTGGAGCCACGGCTCCCAGGGCATGGAGGCTGGGCAAAGAGGGGCAGAAAGCAGCACCACAGCAGTCATCCCCAATCCAGAGCATGGCAGCACTTTGCAAAGCCGCTTCCTCCACCCTGCAGTGAGGTGATGCAGGCCCCCAGCTCCGGCACAGGGGACGGCACATCTTCTGCGGCGGGGGGACAAGCGATGGGTTGCTTCAGGCTCAGGCCTGCGGCAGTCCAAGGTACCATCCTTCCCAGGCAAGCTAAGTGGGGCTCTGCTCACGGCAGGGCCAGCAAAGCTGGGTCCCCCAAAACCGAGCTGTTCTCTGGGGGCTCCCAAAGGGGCATTGGAGCGAGCCAGACATGCTGGTCAGCTGGCTGCCACAGCCGGACCCCAGCGCCGGGCCTGGCCGTGGTCCCCCAGTCCAGGAGAAAAGATATTGCAGAGAAGGTGACAGCTGCTGTTGCCACCAGGATGGAGGGGAGGGCAGGGGTGACTGGGGACAGGAACATCCCACAGGGCCTCAGGATCCCGGCTGGGGGCTGGCTCCGCTCTGTAGACCTGCAGGAACCAAGAGGAGCCAGGGTCAGTTCTCACCAGACTCCTTACCCCCGTCCACTTCCCCAGGGAGGGGCAACAACCTGACCACGGCCCCGAAAGCCAGCTTCTCCTCCAGTCTGGCATCTGAGGGGATGATGCCCTTGTTCCAGCCCCAGGGACACCCTCTCTCCATCCCAGTGCTGGTCCCAGTACCCTGGGGGATGCATAGGGTGCCCCATCCCCTTTATGGAGCAGGACTTACAGAGCAGGAAGCGCCGCAGGTTCTGGGCAGATCCCCCCGAGAGCAGGTAAGCCCAGGCAGCAGCAGTGGCCATCAGCAGGTAGGAGGGCACCAGGCTGCCCACGTACAGGGGGTTGCAAAACGTCTGGGGAGAGAGACGGGAGAGAAGAGGGGTGAGCAGGCAGGAGAGGACAGGGACAGGATGGGTGGCAGTGTCACCACCTCAAGGAGCGGAGCAGGACAGGGGACACCAGCTCCAGGATTCGGTTTGTGAAGGGCCAGCTGCAAATGCCCCAAACCCAACTGCTTCACTAGTGCCAAAGGCTGTTCCCCACCCAGCACGGGGACCACACGCACCACAGCCGTCCCCAAATATAGGTCCCAGCGCAGAGCTCAGCCTCCAACTACTCACCGACCCCGAAACAGCAAGGTGCATGACAACAACCGCTGTGATCTCCCACCAGCGCCGATGCTCACAGCCGTGGAAGAAGAGGATCCCCCAGAAGGTGTGAAGGAAAATCAGCACCATGGTCATAAAAGCTGCAGGGAGCGGCAGAGGGGTGTCACCAAGGAACAAACCGCCCTAACCTGGCCTGCGGGCTTGGGGAGGGATGGAGAGGGGCCAGGAAAGGGGAGTAGGGGCACTGCTGGGCCAGACTGGGAGTGCTGGGGCAGACCACGAGCGTGGGAGGGATGGGGGAGAGGAGTAGGGAGGGTCACAGGGACTTGGCACAGAGAGATGTGACAGTGGACATTAAGGGGCTCGGCTGGGCAGAGGGTGTAGCGTGGAGGAGATAGTGTGGCATGGAGACCCCAGCCGCCCCCGGGCCTGTCACCTCTGTGGTGGGGCAGAGACGCGAGCGCAGGGTGCCGTTGGCTCACCTGAGGTCAGGAAGTAGAGCTGCGAGTCCCCGTGGATGCCCACCGTGCCGGGCCCCAGTGCGTCTGCCAGGAGATTGATCATGGAGAAGGCGCCGCTCATCCCCCCCCGGCTCCCCCCCGGCCCTGCCGTCGGGGTGCCCCGCTCTGCGCAGCACTCACCATACGCCATTTGCTGGATGGAAATGGGGGAGCAGCCATCCTCGCTGAGGGCCACCAGCCCCTCGATGGCCTTCCTGGGGGGTGAGAGCACGCTGGAGCCCGCTGCAGCCCGGCCACCTCCCGGGGCACGGTGCAGCACCAGGGTGGAGCCGACAGAACTGGGGCCTCACTCCGCACCATCCCACCCTCCTGGTGACCTCCTCATCACCAAGCTCCAACACCCACCACGGAGAGCGTCCGCGTGACCGCCCTGAACCACCGGACCAACCACGCACGTGAGAAACCACGCGAAGCCACAGAGAAGGATTTTCCACGGAGGAACGTGAGCGCCAGCCGGCCCCGCAGAGCCGGGTGGGGAGAGCGGGACACGGGGTGCGAAGCAGGCAGCACCCCCGCACGGAAAGCAGCCCCAGTGCGGGTGTGGGAGGCGCGTGCCAGGAGGGTTTACCTGATCTCCGCATTTACACTCAGAAAATGTCGAAGAAAAATGGAGGGGGTGCAAGGAAGAGCTCAAAGAGCTAGAAAAAATAAGCGGGGGTGAGACGCTGGGAGAGGCGGGCTTCATAATTTTTATCAGCTGGAGGTGTGGTGGGTGAGGAGGACGCCCAACGTCTCCTGCAACCGGAGATCCGCAGCGCAAATGGAACGCGGTGGTTCGCGCCGGAGGCTGGTCCGCGGAGCTCTGCTACCCTCTTCCCG